ATCAGCATCCCTCAAGATCTCAGTGCTTCATCTAAGCACATGACAAGGTTAATGTATCAGCCAAATGTTGGGGCCTTTCAATAGCCTATTGCATTCTCGCTTAAAAAAATATATTAAAAAAAAATATTATTGATTATTGCATAATTTGTACCCAGCAGAGATGTGGTATTAACATATGGTATTTTTTTCAGACTTTCATCACCTGCTTGTGTGGATATAGAGTAATTGCCCAAAATGGTAAGTGTGAATTTAAAAATTAGTAGTTTTTGTAACTCAGGAAAAATAATAGAAATCGGCATTTGCCACGTGTGTCCAGGCACTAGAAAAATATTTAAAATGGTTATAAAAATAAATCTGGATGGATTGGACAAGAACATGCTCTCTAATCAGTGAACATACTGTATGTGAAAGTGCTGTTTTTGGATTGGACAGATTCTTTTTATGATGGGTTATCCACAATAAAAATACTCACACACCTGGGGAATCCAGCAATGTCTTGCTGTAATTACAATTACAGTGTAATCTCCTGCGCCACCTTCACACACCCCTTACGTCATCAGGAGCCTGCGGTCTATTCCAGTAAAAGAACTGTAAATAAAATCATATTGATGTATAATTGTATCAATGTGTGTCTATTTATAGGTTGCAGTTATATATGACAAGATAGCAGCCATATTTGCGAATTTCATATGCAGGCTCTGCTTCCTTGTTACAGAATGTCTATGCTTTAGGGCCTGTTCACATGAGATCAGGTCCTGATCAGCAGACGTGGAGCTGCTGATGCAGTGCGTTTTTGGCCGGGTTTTTGATGCGTTCCAGCGTTTTTTTGCTGGAGTGGGGCTGTTAGTATGTTAGCTGCAGTGCAGTGCGCTTTGGATGCGTTTTTGACGCATTTGCGTTTCCTGACCGTTTCCGGACCTGACAAAATGGGACATGCAGTATTTTTCTGTCGTAAGCTGAACAGACTGCGCACGTGAGAACTGGAGCCCATAAAACACATAGGGATACATTGGGATGCATTTTGAGTGCAGCAGCGTACGGAGCCGGTCAGCACACAAAACGGACGTCGTGTGAACAGGCCCTTACTGCTCCCCATAACAATGCAGGTGTATCAGTCAGCTGACTTACTGCAAACAAAGAACTCATTGAATAGTTGATACCTTACCTCAACATTTCAGCAATTACTCTGATACTCTCAAACATGCATGCCACAATCTTCATTCATTCCAGTGGAAAGCTCTTACTTGAATGAAAAATAGACTTTCCAATGGAACAAATAGAGATCTCAGTGCACATATGTGGGGGAACCGGACCTAACCTTAGTTCTGCTTTTGCAGCCAAATGAGGATAACATCTATGTATTGGTTATATGTTTCTATTCACATTACATAAATGTTAAAAAAAAATGCTGCTTCCCTTTATAAATGCTTTTTACTTGATTAAAAATCCTACCTAGCTTCCCCCTATATTATGTTAAGGAGGGGGCTGGGGGGCAGGGATAGGCACGGACCAAGGCTGTGGCGGACATTTTCCAAAGTACAGACCTTAGTGAAGGACACCAAGGTACATTTCAAACTAAAACCTTTAAAAAACACTCTAGTCTGGTGTGCACATGCCTATGTATACGACAATTCAGAACTGCACCAGCTATAGAGGACTACAAATCCCAGCAATAGATTACCGTATTTTTCCGCCTATAAGACGCCCCCATGTATAGGACGCCCCCCACTTTTCTTACCCAAAATTCAGAAATCAATATTTTCCTTGCTCTTTTGCATAACTGATTACATCCAGTTTAAATTTTGCAGAGTAAGACAGCCGCTTCCTGGTATTGGTATTTACCAGGATTTGTTTTTTTTTCTGACATTTTATGGGCTCAGAATGCTCTGACATTACCGCTCCCTGTTGCATCTAGGCACTGGCTTGGCTACAGGCTCTCCGCAGCCTCAGCTGACGTCGGGTACATAAGGCTCATGTTTGGAGGAAACCGGTTAGCTTGTCTCTGCAATCGGAAGTTTCACTTGTGAGGTTAGTTGCAGAGGTATTGGCAGTTTCGCAACCGCGGTTCTCCTCTCGGCCCCCCGTGTATAAGACGCCCCTCCATTTTTAGGTAAATATTTTAATGAAAAAGTATAGTCTTATACATGGAAAAATACAGTATACAGTAATGCAGAAAGATTTGAAGCTACATACTCGTGTTGCTTCAGGATCACGGCCTCAGGATGATGTCTCCAGGGTCTCAGGATGGCTCTCTGGTGGGCAGTGCGGTATTTAGTCAGACTCAGGACATTCCAACATGCATTACAAAAAGCTTGCATTTTATCGAATATGGGAGGTAAAAGGGATGCTTTGCTGTTCTCTGCAAAGGCTACCCCTACCCCAGCGTCAGGCCCCTCTTCAACCTTGGGCACCAGCTGCTTGGTACTCCTGTGCTCAGAGGCGGCTCTAGTTTGCAAGGCCTTAGGCGAAACCTAAACATGAGGCCCCACTCAGGCCTGTGGGGTCTCAACAGGTCTCTGTGGGGTTTAACCAGGCTGGTGAGACCCCCAAAGAGCCCTGGTGAGACCCCACAGAGCCCTCATTTAACCAGGGCTCTGTGGGGTCT